ATTTCAAAAAATTGTTGGTATCTCTAGAAATGATTTTGATTGCAAAAAGCTTAATAATAGGGTCGTCTACTTTATTTAAAATCGAAAAGAGTCGTTACACGTTTTTTTTAAAGAGGTATTTATGGGTTTTGTAATTGGCCTAAGATCAATAAATTAGATTAATGGGTACAGATGTTCATAATTAGCCAAAATATAGTCATGGTCACTATAAATGGATCCTGGAGACAACGGAACGGTCCTCCGAAGATGCAGAACATCCGTAAAATTGGTATCCACGTGGTTTTTTTTAAGCATTAGGAACTGTGATATACGAAAAATGTGGGTTCATGGCATAAACACGGACCCGGATGATCATGAGAGCGTGCTCAGGAAGATCCGGAACATCTGTAAAAGTGGTCTATTAATGAAACTGATTCTAGAGCTCCGCAATTTTTTCTAAAACACGTGGAACTGTGATATAAGAAAGAATTTTGGATTGTGACATAAAAATGGACCTGGATGGCCATGGAATCATCCTCCGGAAGATCTGGAACATCCGTAGAAGTGATTTATCATGAAACTGTTTCTAGAGCTCCGTGGTTTTTTTTTTTTCGAAAACACTAGTAGCTGTGATATAAGAAATAATTTAGGGTCGTGAAATAAACATGATCCCAGATGGCCATAATACCGTCCTCCGGAAGATTTTAAAGATCCTTAAAAGTGTTTCACAGTTTTTTTTTTCGAAAACACGTGGAACTGTGTTATAAGAAAGAATTTGCGGTCGTGACATAAATATGGACCCGGTTGGCCATTGGACCGTCAATCGGAAGATCCGGAACATCCGTAAAAGTGTTTCATACATGAAACTGTCAAAAAACCGTGATTTTTTTTTCGAAAACTTCACAGTTCGAAGTGTTTTTGAGAAAATCACGAAGTTTTAGAATTTGTATCATCGATGCACCACTTTTACGGATTTTCCGGAAGACGGTTTCATGGTCATTCGGATCTATGTTTATGTTACGACCCCAAATTATTTCATATATCACAGTTCCACGTGTTTTCCAAAAAACCGTGGAACTCATGGATCTGTTTTATGGATTGACCATATTACGGATTCTTTTTTTATTTCACAGTTCCTTATGTTTTTTGAAAAAAACTGCGGAGCTCTAGGATAAGTTTCATTGGTTGACCTCTTTTACGGATGTTCCGGACCTACCAGAGGACGGCCCCATGGCCATCTTGGTCCATGTGTATGTCATGACCCCAAATTCTTTTTTATATCACATTTTAAAATGCATTCGAAAAAACCGTAGAACTCTATGATCAGTTTCGTGGATTGACCACTATTACGGATGTTCCGGATCTTTCGAAGAACAGTCTCATGGCTATCAGGGTCCATGTTTGTTACGACCCCAGCTCATTCTATTATCACAGCCAGGGGTTGAAACGGTTGACGTCTTTTACTACACTCGCTTCGTTGTCGTGCGCGACAGTCTCTTTGTATTCGTACTCTCGTACTCTACCGTCGTCTCTCTTACACAACACAAACGGTAGAACAACACCCCTCAACATCCCTCTCCAAAGGGGGAGTTTGGTAAAGAGAGATGAAAAAACCAAAAGTTGTCCTAGCTCGCTATTCTACTATCTATATGCAATTTTCACACTGCCGTACTCTAACGGGACTATCAACTCTATACTTTCATCTACTTCATCTATCGTATAAAAATTACCACTACAATCTGTTATTTGATATTAGCATCTTCAACTATGTAAATCGTTGACTTCACGCAGAAGTAATACTAAAACATATAGTCAAAGTACAAATTCTTTCTTATATCACAGTTCCTAATGTTTTCGAAAAAAAACGCGGAGCACTAGGATCTAGTTTATAGAACTGTTCCGTTACCTACAGGTTCCATATATAGGAGCCATGACTGTATTCTGGCTAATTATGAACATTTGTGCCCATTAATCTAAATTATGGATCTTAAACCACTTGCAAAACCCAAAAACACACATTTAAAAAACGTGTAACGACTCTTTTCGCTTTTGAAAAAAGTAGACAACCCTATTTTCAATCTTTCTGCAATTAAAGTAATTCACAGAGCCTAGGAATTCTAGAGGTACCACAATTTTTGAAATTCATCAAGAAATGGCTAAGTTATATCATTGCAAACTTGCTGTTGCTGTTCGTAGTCGGCGTAAAGTATTTTACCCACCCTATTCGGAGTGTTAAAATAATTCTCGACTAGATATCATAAATTGTTCAAGAAGTCATTCCATTTAACATTTTAGAGAATACTAATAAAACGCAGATAAATATTCCAAGAGAATTTCCTGGAAAATTAGAAAAAGAATTCCTAGAATTTGTATATAATTTTAAGAGAGCTATGAATATAATCATAAGAGAACCAGGTTGATCCAAACCCTGCGCTTTGGTCAGAGAGCGTATAGGGCATCGTTGTGCCAGATTGGTCGAGGCATATTTCGAGTATGAGAAGGTGGTTACAGTTTGCTCAAAAGTGCCTGAGCAAAATGCAAGTACTTTCAATGATTACCCGTAGTTGCAATACCCAAGCAGCAACTTTGACTTTGTAAGAGTTGTTTACACCAGTATTTAAACTTAAAGAAGGTTTTGAAACCTTCATTAGGTGTACAATGCTGTTTGGGTAGTGAAGGTATAATTTTGAAGTAAAATAGTCAAAACATTGAGAAACATAACGCATAATTTAAAAAAAAAATGCCTGAATTTGCAACCGATGAACCATTCTGATGGCCTATGGGTACCCAAGTAACCATATAGTCGCAATAAAGCTTTGTATATACTCACCTTGCGATAATATGGTTAGTTGGGGAATCCGATGAAAATAATCCCGGTTGTATGTATTTCTTTCTTTCTTTCTTTTGCAATTAGCATATAACACCGACGGAGTGCACATTCCAAGTGCTGGGTGACCTAAAGATGACCAGTGACATGGGACGCGAATGTCCTCCCAGAAAAGCAGGGGGATACAATAAAATTTGTTTTCGTTGAAGGATGTATCACAACAAAGGTAATTTAGATGCATAAAACAAATTTACATCAAGGTATGATGGAGACTCACTCATCACATTGGAACAACCAGATAAGTACACTTGCTTTTTATTTTATTCTACACATATATCCCAATCATTTTATAACTAAATACGTGCCAGAATAAAAAGTTTTTTTTTTATTCTGGAAGTGAGAATACACTTGTGTATTTTTGGGGGGCTTATTGTATCAGAAAATGACCTCAGAATGTACGTGCAGAAACAGGCATTCTTGAAATGGGTCGTTTGATGTACGATAGAGCTGTCACCTTCCATCTCCAGGGCTAAAAATATTCGATTTACAGAAAATGCAGATAAGTTTCTTCCATAAAAACTCTGCCGGTACAGAGGGCGATGGATTGTACTCACACACACACAAGAGAACCAGGTTGATCCAAAGAAAATTCTTGGAAACATCCTGTGTAAGGTTTTAAGATAAATGAAAAATGATCCAGGTTTGGGAAAGTTTTTAAGATATCAAGACTTTAAAAAAAATATGAAAATTATCATACTAAGAAGAGATCTTTAAAAAAAAACACATATAACATAAGTTATTATAAGTTTTTTGGGATCTCATATTAATAGAATTTGCGATATTTCAAACTGAGCATGATTTTTCAAAGCTGATTTCTCTTTCTTAAAAGTATGATCAGTTCATTCGAAATTTCCCCCCGTTTATTTTCAAATCTTTCTACGCGTTTGCACATACTATTTTCAAAAAGCTGTTTTCAATGTGAGCTCAAAATGTTAGCTTGCATAAATTATTGTGCACACGTAAATTAAATTAAATTTACAAATACCTATCTATGTCTTCAGATTTGTTTTCCGTCGATCTTATTTTCCGTACAGAGTACCAATGCTGCTGACGCCAGGGAGGCATCTCCCACTCCTGGACCCTATCTAGTCGGATTCTTGCGATACATGTAAGAATGACAACTAGACAAAAATCGAATACTGCATCATTTTTCAATAGTGATGGAGTAATACGACACTTTTGTAATATTCATACTATTCAAACGAGCTTTGGGAAATTAGAAGGAGAATGAAAATGGTCAAAAATGTGATAAAGCAATAAATATTCATGGGGTCGGTTCCGGCAAAGTGGTTAAAATCCATACCTCTCACGCCAAAGTCATAAGTTCAAATCTCACCCCGTGACCCAAGAGTTTAAAAATGACTATAATTAAACAACAGTTAAGAATTACTAACAGACGTTTCAATTTTAAAGAAAAGATATTTGTTTTTCTCTGGCTGCTGATTTCTTACTATAATCATATTTCTGTGCAAGTCACAATTGATATTCCAGTATCAGGTATCAGAACGTTGGCTGAGGCGTTAATCGCGATTTAGATCAGTTTCTAATTAAACAGAAAGTTGCTCCCTGCACCTATTGACATTAGCCGAATATTTGGTTTAGCTATTTACTTCGCTACTCTGCAACATCAGGTGGTGCCTTATTTGCGAGGAACACCCTCGCAAAGTAATAAGCATATAAATTATGCGTAAAATGTCGGTTCCATTTAATCGCATGAAAATAAACTAGATGATTAGGTAGACAGTTCCAGGCTATCAGTGAAGCAAATGTCACATACAGTTTACCTAAATTTCGTTTGAATTACAATTGCTTCTTACGTTACAAGACAGATTCTTTCAACTGTGGTGGGAATGACAAAGGGCAAGCTCAAATCCACTCGTTAGGATAATCGGTTTTACGAACGATGCGCCAAGAAACGCGACGAATCCTAAGCCATTCGCTGCCACCTTCAACGCCCACGCACCGTAGCAGCGCGATGGCTCGAAAGTGCCTGGTAAGCAACCGCAAAATACACATCACTTCATCCCATCACGCCTCTCGTGACATTTCTTCGAAATAAAAACATAAGCACTTTTTCGTTCTACGTTGGTGAGGGAAAACAAAAACGAGTGCTCCATAAAAATTCGTCACTTACCCATTTATCTCCGATCTGTTCAACGCGGCAATTGATGAACGCTGTCTGACCCACGCGGGTTGTGATATTTCGAGGCACGTCAAAGTCAAAATATGGATGAGGGGAGAACTTTTTGATGATGCTGTGCTGGTAACTGCCACCGCCTCCTGTTCCACCTCCACCTCCACCGTTGATGATGCCTGTGAAATAAGAGAAATTGGCCAAATTAGGGCAGCACTCGAAAAGCGATTTCATATCCCAGGATGGGAAGCTGGGTAGTTTGATTCAACGGAAGCCAAATCTCATTATCGCCAGTTGTTTGGCATGATTCAACAACCATTATATGGAAATGTATTGTTCCTCTCCGTAATTGGGATTCATTCGAAGTTTTCCGATTCACGAGGGGATAATTAATTTCGAAGTTTTGAAACGCATGTCAGTACACGTGAAACAAAATCAAAGTCCCTGCAAACTGAACATTGAGTTGCTTAACCATGCTATCAAATGTGTATCGATTTCGTGAATTAATCAGCGCTGCGTGGTCATGTAATAGAGTTAGAAATTTATAATGCATCTTTGTGCTGAATGCCCGGTTATGTAGTTTGAGTTAAATTATATCCAAATACTCATTTTCACCAGCAGTTTTTACTTCACATGTGAATTTTAAACACCGATTTGAAATGCAAATGAAACAGCCTACCATGAAGATGGATTATTCTGCACACTTGACAATTAATGTGATGTAAGAAATGTGCATCATCAAAAGTTCTGAAAGTGTCTATAATAAGCCATTAGCAAAAAATCAATGTATATAAAGATCACAGAATGTGCACAGCAAAATGCTTACCTTACCTTACCTTACCTTACCTAATGGCTAAGGTCATTTTTAACTCTCTATTTTTTTCCAAATTAAAACAAATTACATTTCATTTTAACCTAGGTGCTCCAGTTACTACAGTATTTTACCAGCCTTAATTGTTAAGATATATATATCTAAGTGTTTTAACATTGTTCCTGCCTTGGCAGCAGTATTTTAAACAGGTTTTTTTTTAAACCTGCATGTCAGTATAACAATTGACATCTTAAAACTAAAAACTAAAACGAAATCTTATCTAAGTATAAAGGGAATTAGTCATTGCAATGGAGGATTGCAACGATTTTTGCCTGAAATTATTAATTATTTTGTTGGACATTTGTTCTAAAGTCTCAACATTCGAAATTCTATGTACCTCGGTAGTACTGTCCCAAGCAGGCAACTTCAAAATCATCTTCAGAACTTTGTTCTGAATACTTTGAAGTGCTTTTTTCCTGGTAGTGCAACAACAAGACCATATTGGCACAGCGTAAAGCATGGCCGGTCTAAAAACTTGTTTAAATATTACAAGTTTATTCGTCAGGCAAAGTTTGGATTTTCTGTTTATAAGAGGATACAAACATTGTATATATGTGTTACATTTGGCTTGAATGCCCTCAATGTGATCTTTAAAAGTTAATTTTTGGTCAAGTACTAATCCAAGATATTTCATTTGGTTTAACCAGGAAATTGGAACTCCGTTCATAGTGACTATGTGACAACTACTAGGTTTCAAAAAGGAAGCTAAATAGTTGGAAGCGTTGGAAGAAATCTTCCATTTTTGTAAATAACGAAGGAAAATATTTAAACTTTTCTGCAATCTGCTGTGAATAACACGAAGACTTCTTCCTTTAGCGGAAATGCCTGTGTCATCAGCGAACAAAGATTTGTGGCATCCCTGAGGCAAATCAAGGAGGTCCGAAGTGAAAATGTTATACAATATAGGCCCAAGAATGCTACCCTTAGGAACTCCTGCAGGTAGTCGATCCGATTTGGAATTTTGATAATTTACCTGCAGAGTTCTGTCAGTTAAATAATTTTGAACTAATTTCATAATATAAAGTGGAAAATTAAACTTTTTCAATTTAGCAATCAAACCTTCATGCCAAAAACTGTCGAATGCTTTTTCTATGTCTAGAAAAGCAACTGCAGTGGAGCAGCCTTCAGATTTTTTTGAACGAATTAAATTGGTAACTCTTAAGAGTTGATGAGTAGTTGAATGCCCATGGTGAAATCCAAACTGCTAATCTCCAAAAGTTGAGTTCGTATTGATGTTTACTGATGTTCAAAAAGTTTACTTACGGGAGAAAGCAAACTTATTGGACGGTAGCTAGAAGCTTCAGCTGGTTTTTTATCCAGCTTCAAAATTGGAACAACTTTTGCATTTTTCCATTTATCAGGAAATTATGCCAAATGGAAACATCTGTTAAATAATTTTACCAAAAAAAAAAAACAAGGTACTCTCTGGGAGTTTTTTGATGAGGGTATAGAAAATTCCATCATCACTTGGAGCTTTCATGTTTTGAAACGTTTTAGTTATAGATCTTACTTCGTCCAAATAAAAATATTTTCCCGAGAGAAAAAAAAAAAGGATTCGGAAGACCCAAACTGAAATTATGGGAGCTTTTTTCCAAATTTGTGATCAAAATTTTACCACCGTCTTTAAGCGGTGGAATTGGCTTTTGAGGTTTTTTTTTCAAAATTTTTGTGAGTTTCCAAAAGGGTTTGGAACTCGTGTCTAATTCAGAAACATTATTTTCAAAAGTTTTGTTCCTCAGGGCAGAGAATCGCTTTTTAATTTGTTTCTGCAAATCCCGCCAGATAACTTTCATGGAAGGATCGCGTGTTATTTGATATTGTCTCCTACGGACATTTTTAAGACGGATCAAGAGCTGAAGATCGTCGTCTAATATAATTGAATCGAATTTAACCTCGCATTTTTGGTACTGAGGTACTTTTGCTTCAACTATAGAAAGTAGTCAGAGATCCAAGAGTATAATTAATTTCATCTTTGGTTTGCAAAGGAATGTTTAGATCAAAGCTTTATTCCAATATTCGATATTGCTTCCAATCAGCTGGAAGGTAATCAGAACCGAAGTCAGCATGGGTAACCAATTGGCTACAAAGTTGACATGAATCAGTTAAGACCAAATCAACAGTTGATGGATTTCTTGCTGAAGAAAAGCATGTTGGGCTGTTTGTTTGTTGAATAGTGTACAGAACGATCATCAATTAGAATATTACCATTGTAATTGCTTTGAGCATTATTACATGAGCGGTGTTTTGCATTAAAATCACCAATAATGAAGAATATTGATCTATGAACGTAAGTTTCTGAAGGTCACCCTTGAGCAAAATGTTTCAAAAGAATTTCCCAAAGTTTCAAAAACTTTGGTTTCAAATGAAGTAAGAATTTTATGTTTGATTCGTCTATGAATAATGATGGCAACGCCACCACAGGGTCCATCAAGACGATCATTTCTATAAATGAAATAATTTGCGTCCCTCTTAACCTTATGGTCAGGTTTAAGGAACGTTTCAGTTATAACGGCAATATGCAGTTTTTGAGAAACACTAAGAACTGAGATGATAGAATGAATTTGGGGTCGTGACATATACATGGACATTGATGGCCATGAGAACGTCCTCTGGAAGATTCGGAACATCCGTGAAAGTGGAAAATTCACGAAACTGATCCTAGAGCTCGGTGGTTTTCTTGAAAACGTTAGGAATTGTGATATTAGAATGCATTTGGGATCGTGACATAAACATGGACCCAGATGGCCATCGGACCTTCCTCCAGAAGATCCGAAAATTCCGTAAAAGTGGTCAATGTATGAAACTGATCCTAGAGCTCCACGGTTTTTTCGAAAACACTTGGAACTGTCATATATAAATTAATTTGGGGTCGTGACATAAACATGTACCAAGAAGGCCATAGGACCGTCCTCTGCAAGATCTAGAACATCTTTAAAAATGGTCAATCCTCGAAACTGAACAACCAAGTGAGCTATTCAAATACGGTGGTTAAGCCTTGGCTAGAGCGCTGCACTGGGTAATTTCCAAGATTTAGAAAGAGATATTACCGGAGGAGTGAAGGAAGGTGTTGTATGCCCATTCTACAAAAAGGGCGACAAGTTGGATTGCTGCAACTACCACGCGATCACAATGCTGAGCGCCGCCTACAAGGTACTCTCCCAAATTACATGCGGCCGCCTTTCACCATTTGCAAGAGTTCGTGGGGCAATACCAGCCGGAATTTATGGGTTCATATTCGCGATTCGACAGGTTATGCACACATGCTTGCTTACACATCGTTTGTTCATCGATTTAAAATCCACATAAGACACAATCGATCGAGATGAGCTATGGCAGATTATGCACGAGTACGGATTTCCGGATTAACTGACGCGATTGGTGAAGGTGAGTATCGGGGACACTCTCGAGTCCCTTTAAATCTCGAATGGGTTTACGGCAAGGTGATGGACTGCTATTCAACATCGCGTTAGAAGGTGTGATCAGAAGAGCTGGGATAGACACGAGTGGCACGATCTTCAGGAAGTCCATCCAGCTTCTTGGCTTCGCCGATGTCATCGACATCATGACACGGAACTTTGAGACGACCGAAGGCTGAAGCTAGGCAGATTGGGCTTGCCATCAACGCATCAAAGACAAAATACACGAAAGGAAGAGATTCGAGGTGGTCGATGAGTTCGTGTATTTGGGCTCACTGGGGACCGCCGAAAATGATACCAGCAGAGAAATTCAAAGACGCATTATGACAGGGAATCGTGCCTACTTTGGACGGAAGGTGTTGCGTACCATCTACGGTTGAGTGCAGTTGGATGACGGAACGTGGAGGAGGCGAATTGCACCAGCTGCTGGGAGAACCATCCATCGTTCACATTGCAAAAATTGGGCGACTACGGTGGGCTGGGCATGTCGTAAGAATATCGCACGACGACGCAGTGAAAATGGTTCTCGAAAGCACCCCAACAGGAACAAGAAGAAGAGGCGCGCAGCGGGCAAGGTGGATCGACCAAGTAGAAGGCGACCTGCGGACCCCTCACAGACTACGAGGCTGGCGAAGTCTGGCCATGGATCGAGTAGAGTGGAGACCACATCTTCGGACAGCAGAGGACAACAAGGCCTTAGTCCGATTGCAAGCAAGCAAGCCATAAAATAGATCCAAGAACAAAAAAAAAACAAAAACGTGGAACTGTGATATTAGAATGAATTTGGGGTCTGAACATAAACATGGAACCAGATGACCATGGGACAGTCCTCCGGAAGATCCGTAAAAGTGATACATCCACGATACTGTTTCTAGAGCACCGTAGTTTTGTG